ACCACTATTTAACAAATGTGACTTGCAACACTGCAACTTACTTAATAAACAGACAACATTAATACAGCTATTTGGTTTAACAAGTCTGCCTACTGGCAAACATAAACTTCCTGAACAGCATAGGAAATGTTTTTTACAATATTGTTTCTAATGAAATGCCTTATTTTTAAAATATGTTTCAGGACAATGTGAAGCCAGCCAGTCATTAACCAACTGGTCATTACTGCAAATTTTGCAGTAATGACCAGCTGCCTGCACAAGACCCACTAGATCTTTACAAACTAGCAGCTATTGTATCACAGTAGAAAATAGCTCTCATTGAAGACTTTGTATTGGTCTTTGAATTTTTCAAGATGTTGTTGAGATTTCAAGTGTATTTAAGTGACACAAACCAAATACAATTCACCTGTTCACCTCTGGCCCTGCTTCAGAAAAAGAGCTCTATAAATGTATAAACTGTGCCATAGCAGAAAGTGTCTCATGGATCTTATTTAACTATTCACTTCACCAAAAGTAAAATAAAAGGTGAAAGTAGATGAGATATTTTTGAGTTTGTAGATTTTTTTCTGTAACACTGGGCCACAGTTGTAATAGTAACCCACAATACAGCTACCCTGCGAGCAGATGTTTCCAGATTAAAAAAAGCAATAAGTGAAAGTGTTCAGGCCTCAGTAAATCTCACTGAAACTTCACACAAAACACAGAATTATATTTTGGTAAGGTCATGGGAGCCAAGGGAGTGAGGCAGGGGGGCAGCACTGGCTAACAAGCACTAACAATTTGATTGGCTACCTCTGGTGCCATGTCCACCCGAGTCAAAATGTGTTTCTTGTCAGTAGTAATGAATGAAAAATGAAAAGCAATGATAAACTGGTGCCTTAAATACAAATAATAGTTTTTCTGGTGCTTTATAATTGAATTTCAATCTAATTAACTGTATTTTATACAATTCATGCAGCGTATTTGCATTCATTTTGCAGTAGTTTTCAGTAACATGATTCGCAGCAATGTCCCCTGCCAGCACTAGTTAGTATATATATTCACCCACTATACTGTTATGATCAGTTGTTGTAGCAGTGCTGAACTGGAGAACAACACCGGGTAAAAAGCTGCAGCATTTGTTCATGTAGCAAGTATAAACCGATGCCTGTGTTAGAAATAAAGAACTAAAGGCAGTGAGAAATTAACTGCCATAGAGTTTGTGCAACAAAGGCAAAAATGCTAAAGAAAAGGAAAATAACAAAGAGAAGCAAGATTGCCAAATAACGAAAAAAGAGCTGAGAATGAACTTTTTTTTTTAAATAGAGGCAGAGAAAATGAGAAAATAACAAGAGAGGTGAGAAAAGGATGGAGAGAGCGAGGGGAAGGGAAGAGTAATCACCCACAGAGGTGAGAGGGAGGGAATAATAGAGAGCTGAGTATCCTTGTAGGATGGTAACTGGCAGGCAAATGCTGCAAGGGCAGAGAAGAACTGTGGACTCATCAGTATCTGTTCACAGTTGACAGATAAACTAGAACAATGGGGATGGTGGCTGCTGCAGCAGGAGGGGGGTCACAAAGAAAAGAAAATAATAGGGGTACAAATGAGGTGGCAGTTATAAGGAAACACCCCTCTGTGAACAGTTTCAAATTACAAATTGCACAGATGATCCTACGGTTATTCTCTTGGAAGCAAAGATAAAGTAATGAAAGAATGGCAGAAGACATACAGAGAAAAAGGGAAAAGGAGGAGGAGGAGGACGTGGTGAGACTGAGAATACTAAAAACTCTATCACACCACTGACAAGAATTTGGCTAAGAACCACTACCTTGGTCTCTGTGTCACTGATTTGTTTCTCCTCCTTTTCCTCCTCATCCTGTGCACAAGAAACTTTAGCCATCCTTCTGCTTCCCGTCTCCCTGGCCTTTGGGTATCCCTCCAAGTCCATATAGGGCACTGTGTGGTGCTGCAACACCTCAGGTTCCTTCTGTGGTGCTCTGATGATGCGCAGGTTGCTGGTGTAAATGATTATCTTGCCAAAGTCTAAGAGTGAGGACTAAAGGAAGCAGAACATGTCACATAATCCTGCATCTAATTCTATTAACAACATCCGGTGCATCCTAAATGTTTTAATTAGCCTCTACTTGTGTTGAATATTTTCTACATTTTGCAAATTTCATTCCAGCAACTCAGAGAGTGTGCCCACATTTAGCTGTGGGCTTTATGTGAGGGCGAGAACAGGTTTTCTAGTTTAATGCAGATAAAAATCCTTTGTGCAAAACATGACATGCGTTGTAGTCTAGCTGTGTTAGGTCTGTTTCTGGTGGTGAACAAACTGGAAAGCACAGTAATTCTTGTTTAATATGCCTTTATGACAATCAAGAGACTGGAGAGAAGCCATGGTTCTTTGATAAAAATTAGATAGAACTTTTATTTCTGGTGAATTTCTTTTATAGTAAAACAAACAGAGAATGCACTGAAGTCATATAGGAACTCACTAGACCTTATACAGCAGGGGTGCGGCCCAGGACCACCGCACCATCCTTTCAATGATGCTGTAAAAGGATAAACTAATTCCAAATTGCTGTCTTCCACTGATAAAAGTGATCAGTACTGGCCTCTATGGCATTGCAAAGCCAAGTGTGTCTTTGTTTGGAGGATAAAAGAGTGAAACTGACACTAAGCCAGCAGGTGATGTAGCTGTCCTCCCTCTCAGCATCCAGCACTAATCAACAGTTCAGTGAGACCATTTTTTCCCTCTCAGATGAACAATTTTGTTATTGTTGTACAATTTCTGCTGAGCAGCCAATGTTTTAATTACCCAAGGGTTCAATCTCATTTTCTATTTTAGCCATATGTTCTGTTCTAAAGATGTATGAATTAATTACTGAATTACTTTGCATTGTGTATGTATGTCTGTTTCGGTCTGTTTGCTTTTCCTCACATGTACAGTGCTCTGTGGAGTTTGTAAAAATCAACTCGTCCAAGAGACACCTTATTACAGTATTATTATTATTTCCAATATGTAAGTATAATCAAAGTGATGCTACATAGTGGTCATGTTCCAAAATCTGTATCTTACCTTTGTAATGATATTAAAATAACTAAATCATAATTTAAGGTGTTAATAGACTGCTTTTGTAGAGAAGAATGCCAGACATAACATCCATAAATAGGTACATATGTTAAAGTGGCAACATTGTAAAAATGCCAGCATATATTCTTTGGCATAATAAGTTGTTAGGCCTGAATTATCAACAGCTAAAATAAGAATTAAAATTGTGCCAACAGAGCAAGCTAGTCTCTTAGTCTCTTCAGCAAAAGTGGGCTGTGATAACTTCAGATCTTGATATGAGTCATCACAAATTCAGAAAGTTTTGTTAACCTTTGTTTTTTTTTTTTTTTTTTAAGAAATGCTGGATTTTATACTCCATGTGTAATTAATGATCACTTTTAGATACTATTATATAATCATGAGATTAGTTTTGTTTTATGACCAAACAGTTGTTTGGCAGACAAAACTAATGCTGGGGGAAATCTAATCAAAAATTTTACCGTGATTAATATCAAAATTTAAGAATCAAAACCTGTTGCATTGCTTACTTTGGCATCTCTCTCTGCATCCTCAGTCTGGTCAGCAGCCAGCTTGTAGCCTCCCATCCCTCTGTACACATTTATTCTCTGGGCAATGAGCCCTGTTGGCGGATGGATACCTGGGTACAGCATGGTGTCAAAGAAGAGTAAGAACTAGCCAAAGATTTGTTTCTCAAGGTCTAGTTTCATCAACCTGCTGCATGTATTTATAACACAATAACGTGCTTGTCTACATTTTTGGACTGAGATGACAATAATCAGTCTAAGTTGCCAGACTCTACCTGACAAACCCTGACCATACAGGCTAGTTGTGTCAGCAAACAGTTCTGACCATGTTTTGAGTATGTACCTAATTCACACTACAGCAGAACAATAAATAAAGAAAGTCATTATACTGTAATTTGGCAGCGTTCCAATAACACAGTTTGTTTGACCTCCTGTGGTGCAAGCTACTATAATTTCTTGTAAACTAATTGTTAAAATGATGGACTGTAATGATATCAGCAATTAAGAATCAGATAGGTTTCATTTTAGCTAGATTGCTAACTGTAGAAAAAATATATTTCATATTCAGCTGGATGAGAAAAACAACATGTTTGAAAAGCATGTTCTTTTCCATTTGGAGAATGTGCTGGTCTCCCTGGTTACCAGCTTACAGACAAGACCACACAACCAAACCTCACAGCAATCATAAAGAAAGATAGATTGATACCGCACAGGATGAGAGCGCAGAATGTTACATGGTGATCAGAACCCACCCTGCTGGTCCAAGTGGGATTCCCCAAACCCACAGAGCTGCTCCATCTCCATGTGACTGGGAGACATCTTTCCATGGATGAAGCTGTGAGGGTATATCTCTTCTGGGCTGTCCAGCTCCTGGCCATCCTCATACACATGCTTCAGCACCCGACCGCTGTAGGAGGATGCTAGCTTGAACCTCACCTGCAGTTGTGAGTTAAAAAAAAGTTTTTAATTCACTCCATTAAAGGTTTTGATTTTGACAAGATGCACTGGTATGTTAAAAATACAAGACTAACCTGTATAACCTACTAGCACAAAAATAATAATTTTCAGTAGAAGATATGCATTTTGATCAGCTGTGTTGACCTCAAAATGTTTTTTACTCAACACAGTACATCTATAGAGATACTTCAAAACCCCTGAAGTTGAAAGAAAGTGGTCCTGTGAATAACTCACCTTTCTGGGCTTGGTGTCATCATAGTGTTGATTCAGTTTTCTCTGCAGTTCCTCCATGGTAACTGACTGAGGAGGGGATGCAGCACAGATGTCAGTAATCCAAGAAGTTCCTTACTTGGGACAAATTGACATTATCTGGAGACTGTGGTGCCTGGTGGGATGAAAGGATACATGGCTGGATGGCTGAAAGAATGGACTAATGTACAGCACAATGGAAGCAGGGCATGAGAGCCCGCCTGAAGACATGTGTGGAAGACGTGGGTGGATGATAAAGCTCTCAGTGTGTCCTGCCTACTGAGTTTGACTGTACCTGCTGTTTTAAAGGACCCACCTTTCTAGTTCCCTGTGCTAAATTATTCACAGCCAGATCGTGTGTACAATGGGCAGCTGAGAAACCAGAAGCTCCATCATCAAATAATTATGATCACCAGAATAGAAGGTAGTTGGAAACTGTGTAGAGCTCTGTGTGTTTGTGTGTGTGTGTGAGAAAGAGAGAGAGAGTTTTTTGTGTGTGTGTGTGTGTGTGTGTGTGTGTGTGTGTGTGTGTGTGTGTCTGTGTGGTGGTAGGGTTGTCAGGTAGTTGTAGGACTGCCTGTCATTGGAATGAACCTGAGTGCATCATGTTGAAGAGTAAACGTGACATTTGATGTCTGTTGCTGTCATACTGAAGCCTATAGCCTTAACAAAATATCTGCCTACATCCATCATTAGAGCTGTGTCAGACTGGAATAGGATCTTACATTTATAGTGTTTCTTCATGTCATTTATAAATGTGTCTGTGCAAGGTGTTGCACTAAAACTCCTTGAATGTCTAGTGGAGAGTAGATCTAGTGAGTATTTTACTGAATGTTTTAATATAAAGAATTCTGGAAAATTACATTTTCCCCACAGTGTAATTACTTGAACCGATCAGTCACAGTGTTTTATCAAAATTATCATGTGCTAAGCATTTAGTAGAAAGGGTCTACTAACTATTAATCCATGATAATTTGGGCATCATGTGTAAAATGGGGCTATATCTCACACAGTTCTTTCAATACTGATATAAATCTACAAATTAAGGCTAAAACCTGGCACTTTAATGTAGTGTGTAAAGTGAGTGTTGTCTGGAAATTTTTCATCTTGTCAAATTATTTTCTTAATCTGTCCCTCAGTTTAAGACTTGTAACTGTGCAGGTCTTTTATTTTAAAATAAATGTACATTTATAGGAAAATACATATTTTACATATTTGAATTCCATTACTACAGTTTTTAAAAATGTTCTTACCCAAATTTTGAAACTGTTTCAGAGGGAACTTTTTCTGTATAATTAAGAGGACGTTTTATAGAACAACCACTAATCTAACAAATTGGTGCTATTAACCTGTTGCATGTTGCATGAGCTCAGTCTTACAATTATCTCTACATATGACTGTTATTAAGCTGAAAGTGAATGAAGAATGAGGGAGAAGTGCTGCGAGCAGACAAAAAACCTCTCCCGTCTCTCCCCTGACCGAGAGTCAGCTTAGTCAGACTGCAGAACAAGCAAGTATGGTCACTCAAGCAATAAATTGTTTTAGGTGCATCTCAGAGAAGGAACCATTTAATGTGTCAGGATTTTGCTTCTTTCAGTTTAAATGATTGCCACAGTAAGTCTGACTCTGTGTCTCCACATTAACAGCTCATGTATATTCGATTATCCCCATTATTGTCCCCAAATACAATCTGCAATATGAGCTTCACCGCTCAGATCCAGTGCTATCTGCTAGCTATCGATCTTCATCTAATCTATTTTCTGCACTCTGCCAGTATGAGTCGAAACTGAGAAATAACAGTTTGGGTTTCACCGAGCTGGTGATAGTGCATTTAGGCATGAATGCACAAGACAAGGCTCACTTAGCCACAAATTTAAACCTAATGCCAGACTACTCCCCTGATGCTACCTGTACTATTGTGGATGTTTAAATTAGAATCAAAACTCTCTTATATTGCCTCTATGAACCATGTGGTTAAATCGTTTGTTCTGTTTTCTCTTGCCCTGTGCACCTCAGTCAGATTACATACTCCTCATTGTTTATCCCTCAAACCATTCGCAGCTACGGTATCACACCCTGGATCAGTGGATGTTCAATATGATAGTCATTTTGTGTTTATAGACACATGTGTGTGTTAGCTTTGATCATTTCCCCCCAAGGGTTCAAGAATACCCTCAGGAGGTTAGAGGTGTGTATCACACTTGGCAAGTCTCACTGTGAGGGCCTGGGGGAGGCATTCATCCTTGCCACCCATTTCTGTTATGTACCATCTGTTGTACTCTCTCTCTCTCTCTCCTTACACCTCCTCTTCTATCTCTCCCTTTCTCTCTAAACATTTGCCCTGTGTAAGTAATCCACAAAAAATGAAGGTGAAACCTCACTATAAAACACACCCACTCATTATTTTGCTTGTACTATTTCTGATGCCCATACCCCCCACTCCAGGGAGTGGTATTGACTGACTTTCAGTGTCACCTACTTTCAGGCAACAGTGGATCAGAGATCAGTCAGAAACACTGGATTCAATTTCTCCATAGTAGTTATTATCCTGAAGGCACACTGAAGTCACACTTTTTGGGAAAGGTGGAATTACTCACAGTGTAATGCAAAGAGTTTCTAACAGTAAAGTGTACCCTCAAGTCAGCAGACTTCAGCACAGAGCTAATGATCACCTGGTATTTACAACAAGAAAAAGACAAGAGCCATTTTAGATAGAAACCACTACTTTAGCACCAAATTCAGATGATACCTTTTAGCTCTTTTATTCTAATCTCAGGTGGCTGATGAGTAGGGGGGAGTAAAAATAGAGGAGTAGGAGAAAAAGGCAGGAACGGAATAAAAGAGGACGTGAAGGGCTGAAATAATAGATGAATGGGACTATGAGGGGGAGCTGGGGAGAGTTAATGAAGAAGTGATGAAGCTACAAATGCGTGCGAAAGATCATATTTGTCAAAAGCCTGTCTGAAGACACTAATGACACATGAAGGTTACAGACAAGAAGAAAAGAAACAAAAAAAAAGACAACAAACCGAGGCTGTGTAAATTTACCTAATGTAGTGTAGGCTTTCACTCTACTTCCTTGTCATTGCTAAATGGAATTTAGTTATAGCAATGTATAGAAGGTAGTTTATATGTTGCACTTAGATGTAGGAGCTAAACAACAAAAGAACACAACTAAAGCCAATACAGTGCTGAGTTCTCTTGTTTTCTTCTTTTTTAATGAAGGCATTTTTTAAACATTTTAATCTAAACACTTTTACTGGGGGACTTCAACGCCCACGTGGGCAGCGACAGTGACACCTGGAGGGGCGTGATTGGGAGGAACGGCCCCCCCGATCTGAACCCGAGTGGTGTTTTGTTATTGGACTTCTGTGCTAGTCACAGTTTGTCCATAATGAACACCATGTTCAAGCATAAGGGTGTCCATCAGTGCACATGGCACCAGGACACCCTAGGCCGGAGGTCGATGATCGACTTTGTGGTTGTTTCATCTGACCTCCAGCCGTATGTCTTGGACACTCGAGTGAAGAGAGGGCGGAGCTGTCAACTGATCACCACCTGGTGGTGAGCTGGATCCGATGGCGGGGGAGGAAGCTGGACAGACTCGGCAGGCCCAAACGTATTGTGAGGGTCTGTTGGGAACGTTTAGCAGAATCCCCTGTCAGAGAGATCTTCAACTCCCGCCTCCGGCAGAGCTTTGACCAGATCCCGGGGGAGGTTGGAGAGATCGAGTCCGAGTGGACCGCATTCTCCACCTCCATTGTCGATGCGGCCATTCGGAGCTGTGGCCGTAAGGTCTCCGGTGCCTGTCGTGGTGGCAATCCCCGAACCCGGTGGTGGACACCGGAAGTAAGGGCTGCCATCAAGCTGAAGAAGGAGTCCTTTCGAGCCTGGTTGGCTCGTGGGACTCCTGAGACAGCTGACAGGTACCGGCAGGCCAAGCGGGCTGCAG